TGTTGCTCCCCACAAATAGACTGGAGCATTTGTCCCCTCTCCACACCCCCCCGCCAAAACAAAAAAAAAGATTTTAAAGATTTGTTTTTTTCCACAGAAGCTCACATGCAAAACAATGGCACTGGCCAATTGACTTTCAACGTAAGACTTTCCTGAGGGGTAAGGTAAAAAATATCGAATGGTCAAAATTATTCCTCTTCGATTGCATTGGTAACTTGCTATTTTGGATTAAACCATACATTTTCGATCACATCCTGTTTGGGATCCAACAATGTTCCTTGACTGTTTACAAGGAACCTTTGCTTCCACATAAAAAAGTGTCAACGGGGAGTATCATACTTTTAGAACAAAGATCGTCCATGATGCGAGACCTACTCCTTCCCATCCTAAAAACATTTGAATCAAGTTATCCCCGGTAACTAACATGAGCATAAAAAAAGTAAAAATAGATAAATAGCACATAAATCGAGGCAAAAAAGGATCCTCAGACATATATGAGATTGAATAAATATGAATTAAACTACTGACAAAAGTGACCACAATTAACATAACCACAGTCAGAGTATCAAACAGAAAACCCCAAGAAGCATCAAACATTTCTGACAAAATCCATGCTGCGAATTTGATAACCACAGTCAGAGTATCAAACAGAAAACCCCAAGAAGCATCAAACATTTCTGACAAAATCCATGGTGCGAATTTGATATAACAAGCACTGGCTCCCAGTGCAACCTCATAAAAAGCTATGAAACACAGACCTGAAGAAATTGAAACACAAGTGGTTGTTACCAAGGCAGCCCCTCGTGAACCAAGAAAGCGACCAAACACGCCTGAATGATCCTCTGCAGAGAAATTGAACATCCATTTATCGTCGCATAACCCACCCGAAACACCAATGACTGGGCAACAATGTAATAATTGAAATGCCACTTGTGACATATCACAATAAAAAAAATCAACCTTACGGAATTCAATAAAAAATGTTGTTTTCATGTAGTGGTAAGTCGTTTTGAACTTAGGTATATATTTCAACAGCTCGTGCTAGACGCCGACATTGCGATGGATGGGGTAGTTTATTATATGGGGTAGTTTATTATATGAAGTTTTTCTATTGCATTCTGTTTCAGTTTATAAAAATCCTAAATTTTTTTATTTTTTCTAGGCCTCAAGAGGAAACACTATAATGGGCTTCGCCCCATGGCACACGAAACGAAAACGAAACGAGTGCATCTACCCACGAAAGGTGGCAAAATACACTCGTTACTATGTATAGCAAACTGACGAACCTGGCCATTTTCTGCCGAAACGAAGATGCACTCGTTTCGTGCACTGTGCGGCGACGCCCTATGACAGTAAATGGTTATTTAAAAGCTTTTATATCCATGAAAAAATAATTGAAGGGAGGTGTAAATAGTTCTTGACGAGTACAGTTCACAATACCTCACAATCTTTAATGCAATAAATTCAAAATAACGACTGCACACTCGACAGTTTTTTCTGTGTTTGTTCTTGCAGTTATAAAGAACTCAGTGCAATCTTCCAAAACTTGATATCTTTATATAGTTTCTTGCACCAATCCATTTTAACAAAAAATCGAATAAAAAACATTTTCTACAAGAAAAAAAAACATCTTCAGCATCTTCGTTTTCTCCTTCCAAAAATGAAAAACGCTAGGCTACCAGCCGGACCGCCCGGGTCCCGGGTGGCCATCCCGTGCAAAGACCAAGGATCCAACCAAAAAAAAAAGAAAGTTCCAAAAAAAAAAAGCTATGTCATGCAGAAAAATAAACTGAACAACTTTTGCCTCAGCGTCACATCAAAATTCTTCACCAAATTTAAAATAAGAAATAAATTTTAATTTTTTACATTTTTATTTTCTTTTACCTCTTTGGCCCGGCCGGGCAAGTGCCCCCGGGCCACACGTGGTTAACCAGGGGTGTTATTTTCTACGAATATCGCACCGAATTGCACTGAAACTGTCATTTTGTGTTGATTTTTTGGTTTTTTCGTTTTTCTTTTTGTGTGACATATATGTGCTTTATGGTACGTGATGAGTGCAGTTTTGACACGTTTGGATCAATAATGAAAAAGTTGGCATTTTGTTGGATTCATTACGCTTCATTTTGACTCGGACCAGTGCCTTTGTGGGTTTCATAGCGTGTTTTTGTTTTTTGTTTCGTTTTTTTTGGCCTGTTTCCTGTTTTTATGTTTGCACTATGGTCTCATATCGTTTGTATTTAGAATCTTTGATGAGATTCGCACCGCAATTGCCAACGAAAACGGCGGATATTTGGGCCCCCGTTAACCGTCTCTCGAAAAATAGCAGACCTAACTTCCAATAGGCCGAATTACGGTTGCACATTCGATTTGATCAATGTCAGCCGTTATCCGGCCCGAACTGCAAATTCGTCGTGGACTGGCGTTTTCCCTCATTTACGCTGTGCCTTAGTTCAGTTAGGAATGATTTTGTGTACCATGTTCGTATGGTGGCGTGATGTAATACGTGAATCCACCTACGAAGGACTTCATACTGGTTCAAGTGGCACTTCGTTAATCATGTCAAAAGTATCGTTTTTTGTTGTTTTTTTTAGCCTTCTTTCATTCAAGTCTGCCGCCTACTGTAGAAATTGGAGCTATTTGGCCTGCAAAACGTATTGATGTGTTATTAGATCCTTGGGGAATCCCTGTACTTTCATCCCGAGCTGCTGTAACCTGGGCTCGGCAACGGCGCTGGTGGTTTAAGATTGTATTTCTTTCCAATCTCACAAAAGTATGTACTACTGTCTACATAATTTATGTATTTGCACTTCTGTTTTTTTCCTAAGCCCACGTACTTACTGAACGAATAGTTAGTTCAACGACCAGTACCTACCGGTTGGGGTGGCCGTTAACGCGGAACACGAATCGGCCTGCCCCTCCTTTCCAAGTTCAATCGAGGCCGGGGGGTACGGAAAATGCGGTAGGTACAAGTCAATGAAGAAACAGGTCGCTCATCAACCCTAGGAAATATAAGATTAGTAGAAAGTTAGGAACATATTTACGATACACATTTTCTTCCCCCAAGTCGTATGACCCGGACTTTGCACCCGGCCTTGCGATCCGCTCTATAAGAAGATCTAAACCAGGTTTCTCTTTTGCTTCCAAACACCATCTGTTTACGCTTTACCTTTTGCTAACTATTGTCTTCATAATGTTCGTATTCAGACTCTCTTTGTTTTTAACCTATGGGCTTGTTGAATGAATAGGTAGTTACCTAGACAATGAAGAAACTCGCTCATCAAGCCTGGGGAATATAAGATTAGTGAAAACATCTTTGCACTACACATTTTCTTTCCCAAAGTAGTACGAATATCGTCTCTTTCGCTTCGAAACAGCATCGTACTTTTCCCTTTGCGTGCATATGCAAACTGCATGGCAAAGAGTTTCAAGCATCATACACTTGTTTGGTTGAGCACTTCACGCAAAAAGGGAAGCCTTGCTTCATGCAGCCACCAGCAGCACACGTTAGAGAGAAGAAACTTGAAACTTTTGAAGATGACCTCGAGGTGTAGGAGGTGATCGCTGCCGGGCCTTCCAATCAGGAGCCAGCAACTCAAGGGAAAAACGGGCATCTCAAGCAAACGTCCACATTGAGCGCTGGACTGAGCGCAATTCTCAGTGGTGGTTTGATATTGCTTGGGTTGAACACCTACGTCAGCACTGGGCACCGTTCGACCATATGAGTGCGAAGAAGCTTCAAGAGTTCCCGAGTTAGATTTGGAGTTAGGGGAAGACACAGAGGGCGAGTAGATTATCCGGCCAGCCGCATTGGACATCGCGTACGAGAAGGAGGAGGAGGTTCATCCACTGATGGAGAAATGGAACATCAACAGAGGTACCCTCATCACAGACAAGTGTACCAATCGCAGGTGAAGTCCAGTTATGAACTTCCTAAAACATCAAACGAAGGGGAGGCTGTCCAGTTGAAGGTGGTGGACATGTCGAAGAGGAAGAAGACCACAGTCGATCTTGCAAAAAGATCATAGAGAAGGTAATCACGGAAATTGGGATTCACGTAATCAACGCACTCTGCACGGATAATACAAGAGGTCAGCAAGCAACACCTAAGACATCCACTACGGAGGGCCCCCAGCCCTCCAGCACAGAGAATTTCCATTTCGAATCAACCCTCCCCCCACGGGGTCCCCAATCAATCCCGCCCAGAACCCATGCACCCCCAAAGCTGAGCCCTCGAGTAAAACCAATACCACCTTACCAACCGCCCTGAACCTCATGCTTTCCGTGACCAGTGTTAACCTGCCGAGTTACAATCTCGAGGGACAAGTGTGAAAGCATGTAGACAACCCCATGGACCAAGTGCGCAAGCAAACCAATCATAGTCTGCACCCAACATACAACACTATGGACGAACCGTCGGGTAATGACCAGGCCGTGTATATTATAATAGCTCACCTGCATCAGGCCAAAGGGGTATACAACTGACCGTACATCACGTAAACGCCCGCAGTGTCTCCGGGCGGACGGGCGGACTTTCCAACCAGCAAACTGTCCCATAATGCACATTGACACCCCGTGTTAAGTAGTTAAGGGGGGGGCAAGTCTAACTAATGACCGCATGCAGCTATATAGCGACGTTATGGGCAAACATAATTCGAACAACGAAGTGCATCTTCAAGTGAGAACGCACTCCTCGTTCTCATCTGGTATCCCGTTGGCAGTTCTTCGACGCACAACATACGCCAATAGAGGACGCATAACCGATCAAAGAGGTTGAACACCATTGAAAAAGAAAGTGTGACGTTTATACGTACAACACCTCCGGTTCGGAGACGACAATGCAAAGTTGCATTATGTGGAAAACAGGAGTAACCGTGAAATACAAAGTTGGCGTTTGGAAGTCGGCACATCTGTTCCTACGCAACAACATAGGATTGGTATTTTCTGTTCCCAAGTACTCTCTCAGGAATTGGACTGAAACTTAACGAGTAGTCCTAGTACTTCGATGTTCGCTTACGTTAGACGGCGAGAGCCACAACGAGATGATAACAAAGAGGACCCTCGCGCCCTCAAAATGTTAGCTCCCGGCGAGTCTCAAGAATCCACAAAAGAATACACGTTCTCGGTTTTCGCACGTGTCATCCTCGCACAAGTGCCATGCTAATCTTATATATCATTTGAATTTTAACGGTTTGCCCCGAAAAAGTAGGAATAACAACATTTTAAAGGTTGTAGTACCATGACGACTGTCCCGGTGATAGAATAGCTCAACATGACGAATTGTGTAAAAATCTACTGTACACTGCACCCATTTTCCCACCCACACGCGACACTGTAGTTTAAACAGGTCCCCCCCGGTTGAATGGGGCCCAGGAATGGAATGGTGGTTCTCGTTGGAAAACCAAAAACATAACGAGTGTGATTGCTGATGCGCTCGAAGAGTTTCTTGACGAGGTTAAGCACTCTTTTGCCTTTCTAATGAACGGACACATGATGTGCTGGTGTCTGTGGTCCCCGGTTTTTGCATTTCTGGGGGATGATCGCAATCTGCAGTGTGATTGATTGCATGCATCATAATAACCATCGAGCTACGATTTCCTTTCCCCACAGAACCCGAGACACAGTTCCCTCGACTCTTCAACATAAAGCTCGGAAAATTTTTTGGCTGCCGACCGATTTCACTCCATTTACAACGTAAGGGTTAGGAATTTTGTGTACTATTCGTCCAATTTTCGTGTTTGTGCCCCTGGCCTGCTGGGACATGCTAACAACTACATACCATCATATCCTTAGTCGACACCAACTTTTGTTCAACGCCATTTTGCGCATTACCCCATAACATTGTTTGCGTACCTAACAACTACAAAGACCATCATCATATCCATACAAACGCGCGTACCCAGTAGATACCATTGTCAGTTTGTCAGTACAAACAACCAATCATGATGTATCTAAGGGACGATGGACCCGGTTTCCGGCAGATGATGCTCCCCACCAATAGCAATAGACTGAGCCTCCACGAGCATGTGTTAGCGGTGGCTGCTCTCATCCGAGTCAGCACTCCTAAAAAAAAAAAGAAAAACAGGGGAGGTATAAAAGGAACAGAAAAGGAAATGTCTTTTCACATTACGACCCTCCATCCACATTCAGTCACACTGATCTGAGGGTGAGACGCCGTCATGTTCGGAATGGATTGGAATAAGCTTTCGGAATCTGGACGTCTTAGGGGAAAGGTGCAAAAAATTGTGTATGAACTGCTTTTCTGCATCTGTGTGGAACACGTCCAGATTCCAATCCCCTTTGCGAGTGGGATCTGGCCCTTAGTTTGCATTACTTCACCGATGTGTAGTGTGAGGACGCCATCCCGTTTGGAGTTCGCAATTTGGTGAGATGCCCTTTCTGCATGTGTATTTGTGCGCTTTTATTTTTCAATATTCCACCTTTCATTCACCCATAGACGAAGGCCATCCTTCCTTTCAGCTATTCATTCTCTACATACGGCCATCCGTTCATTCGCACAAAACCATGCTGTTATAGATTGATTACTGATCGTGTTTCCCCTCGTCAAAGATGCCAAACGACACAAGACAGAAAAACACAAATTTGAACAAGTCGTCGTCACGCCACCACTGCAAACTTCTTGTAGATGCGAAGCATCAAGTGTGACTCAAGATATTTCTAGTCCCGAAATCAAAATTTGAGCAAATCAAGCCGACCCATTCTTCCTCTCACGACACCTGCCCGCGGAGAACAAAACATCTCTGTTTCCTGAGGCGTAGCTACAGACAGTGCAGAGAACCAAAAACAAGGGAAAAAACGCCAAGAAAAGAGAGCCCCGAACACGTTCATCTACACCGTCTACGCCGTTGCTTCCTGAACAGGGAACTCGAATGTGACTTCCTTCCCAGTCAGCTTCTTGTACACTCCACCAAAGGTCTCCAACTTGTACTCGGTGCTGTTTCTCTCCTTGGGGTCCAAGTACACCTGAAATCACACCATCAAATGGTACACACACACACACACGGAGTATTGAGCAAAACAGACGTCACATCATATAACCCTAACACAATGCAGGGGCATCATCACTGTATTTGGGATATCTTCGCCTCTTGAAACCGCGAAAGATTCCGTAGTTACATCAATCAACCATGTCAGCCTCGGTAACGGCAGACACTGATTTTGACCACGGACGAAGACGGAACATCAACCTGAAGCCCGGGCGTGCTGATGCCAAACAAGCACTTCCCTCCGCAAGAGCACTCAACTGACCGCCACACAACTTTTTCTCGACATAAGACGAGTAGGAGAACACACGTATATCGCGGCAAACACAAAACAAACAAAATGAAAAAGCAATTCGCAACAGCGTAAACAAGCTGCAAAGCACTCTAACGACTGGATACAGTGTGTGACAGAGAGGCCCAGCTGTGCGGATCAAAGCCTGGATCTCATAGTATTCGGCTGATGCACAGAAACGACGGAGGGATCACCTTACTCTGAGACTACAATTGGGCTACAGAGTGTTCTCGTCATCTGAGAACGCGTACGATAAAAAGCACCACCACACAGACACACTCCACAACGCATTACTATGAAACGACAAACAAGCGGAGCCATGCAGACTCAACAACCAGGTGGGCATTATTCCCCCCATCAAAGTTAAAACAAGATTTCAATCTGTGAAAGGGAAGCCCATTCAAGGAACGCACCAATGGTGGCAAGCACAAGAATAAACACCCAACTTGTTTTGCACATTTGGATCAGATCGGCAATATAGTCAATCCACATCAGCAGGACATCGCCCGCTTTAGGACTGGGGCGACAAAGAGTCGTCATCATCTCCAAACAAGGAACTCAACACGCCACAACCCAGAAAAACTACCCAATGTAGTCTCACAAGTCCAAACGATACCAACCAAGAAGATAAAACACCGCTTTCACTGTGAGAAGAGAGCCATCCATGAACCGCACAGAGGTCTCAAACAAATGCCACACACATTTGGATCAGATCGGCAATATAGTCAATCCACATCACAGTAGGATAGACACCTACTTTCGGACTGGGGCGACAAACTGTCGTCATCATCTCCAAACGAGCAATGCGAAAAGCATCATCACACAGACATACACACTAGCTCACACATTAATTCGACAGGACCATTATTGCCACCGAGAAACCAACCCCGCCTGAGAAGAAAAAATAGTCGCGAGCACAAGAATAAACAGCAAACTTATTTTCGGCAGTAGGATCAGATCGGCAATATAGTCAATCCACATCAGCAGGACATCACCTGCTTTAGGACTGGGGCGACAAACTGTCGTCATCATCTCCAAACAAGAAACAGCAAACAAGCCACAAGCCAGACAAATACCACCCAACGTATTCACACAATGTCCGGTCAATACCAATCAAGAAGATAAAGACTTTCAATCTGAGAAAAGATCCATGAATGAACCTTACAAAGGTCCCAAACAACGCTCCTGTTCCGCACACTTTGGATCAGATCGGCAATATAGTCAATCCACATCACAGCAGGATAGACACCTACATTCGGACTGGGGCGACAAACTGTCATCATCATCTCCAAACGAGCAATGTGAAAAGCATCATCACGCAGACATACACACTAGCCTACGCAGTAATACGGGAAGACGAACCCCCACTTGGAATCCGAGCAATATAAAAAAATAAATGGAACCAAATGTCTCGAACATCAACGATAAACTCCGCAGACCAAACAGCTGTTTCGCACATTTTGGATCAGGTCGGCAATATAGTCACTCCACATCAGCAGGATAGACAAATCACCTACTTTTAGGCTGGGAAGACAAAAAGTCGTCGTCATCTCCGAAAAAGCAAAACGAAAAGCAAAACCATTCAAACACACCGCAGCATGCCCTAATTCAACCCAAGACGCAATCACAGACACTAGAAAAGAAAAGACAATCCTACACCGCCAGGACTACCAATTTGAGAAGAACATGCCTGGTATGCTGCAAGGTCCCAGGCAAAAAGGACACACCAAACAACACGGCTGTTTTGTGCATTTGGATCAGATCGGCAATATAGTCAATCCACATCAGCAGGACATGAGCTGCTTTAGGACTGGGGCGACAAAGTTTCGTCATCATCTCCAACGGAACACAACCACAGCACCACCGCACATAGGAACACTGGCCAGAGGAATCACATGACGTGCATGCACACTGATTGTCACCAAGACGATGAAACACCCCACTTTGCAATCCGAGGCAAAAACCACATATGGATCGCATACAACAACGCATAAACAAAAGCGACAAACCAGACAGACCATCAGCAGGATAGCGACCTGCTTTTGGATCAGATCGGCAATATAGTCAATCCACATCAGCAGGATAGACACCCACTTTCGGACTGGGGCGACAAAACATCGTCATCATCTCCAAAAGAGCATCGCATGAAGCACCACCACCTCGCAGACAAACTACCGAACGTACTGACACAATGTTCCCACGACTCCCTCCAAGTAAATGAGACACGACTTTCAATCTGAAACTAAAACATGAACGGAGGACATCAACGTCTCAATGAAACGGAACATACCAAGCAACATGCCTACTCCGCACACTCGGATTTGGTCCCCGATAAAGTCCAACCCACATCAGCAGAATAGACAGACCACCTACTTTTTAGCCTAAAGCAACAAAGAGCTCATTGCCTCAGAAATCAATACACGAAAAGCACCCCCTCCCAGACATACTGTACCTTGGCGTATTGACAAAAGGCAGCCACTGGTGCACCGACAAGAAAGTGAAACGCCGACACATCTCACACAACAGCGGCATATCACGAAATACGGCTGTTTTGCCATATCACGCAATACGGCTGTTTTGCCATATCACGCAATACGGCTGTTTCGCACATTTTGGATCAGATCGGCAATATAGTCAATCCGCATCAGCAGGACAATTTCCTACCTTTGGACTGGGGTCATCATCAGCTCCAAACGAGCAACACCACCAACACTACCACACAAACGCACTACCTAACGTATTCAACCTCTGTGTCTCCAACTAACACCAAAAACTTAGAAGCACAAACCTCCAATCTGAGAAGACACGAGGTGTCTGCTATTGCCACCAAAAAGCCGAAGCAAAATCTTCCGATCCGAGAAGATAACCATCTCTTAGGCACGCTTCTTTGGAGCGTTTTGAATGAGATCTTTGCAGTTTTATGAATCCTCATCACGAGGACATACAGATCACCTACTCTCGCACTGGTTTGACAGAGTATCGTCATAACATCTATGCAACTAGCACAAAAAACACCACCACTCCCACGCACAACCTCCCAACCTATTCATACAAACTGGCCCCTTATTCCCAAAGACGAACTATCCACAGCATATTCACACCACCAACGAAACGAACATTCATCCACCGCATCAAGTTCTCAAGTAAAAGAGACGTACTGGACGACATGCATCTTTTGCACACCCAGATAAGAACCGCAATATTTTATATATGTGAACATAAGCAGGTGCGATCACCTACGTTGAAAACCACTGAACCGCCATCATCTCCAGACAAGCAACATGAAAAGCACCACCAGAACAGAGAGCGTACCCAACCTATTCACAAAAAAGGGCCCACTAACGGCACCAGGGAGACGGAACATGTCCTTCAATTTAAGAAAAAGAAACAGATGTATGAAACATACATATTCTCAAACAAAACCGGCGTACAGGTCACCGAGGATGCGCATTTGGATCAGATCGGCAATATAGTCAATCCACATCAGCAGGATGAAAAGATCACCTGCTTTAGGACTGGGGTAACAAAGTCGTCATCATCTCCAAATGAGCAAACCGAAATCACAACCACACCAACAGAGTAGATCATACATTCACACCTAGTAGCGATACATGATTATCAGAGATAAGATCAATTCATTGCCCTCCACCGTTTAAAAAGTAAGGATTTTAAATAACTGCTCAAACGTCGTATTCACAGGTGCTCTTGTTATGCCGTAGTGACATTAATCCTGCGTATCAAAGAGTTAAAGACTGCTACAATAAGCTAGGATTTTAATTAACTGCTCGAACGTCGTATTCACAGGTGCTCTTGTTATGACGTAGTGACAGTATCCTCCTGCGTATCAAAGAGTTCCGTTTCCCCCAAACACAACGCACCCTTATTTTGGCTCTATCTGGCCGGAAAAATTGCTCGTATACATTCATTTTTAGGGTGCGTTATGTTCGGGGGAAGACGGTAGTAAACGGCCCCATCGTAGTGGAGATTTGCTTGTTACCTACTCTAAAATCTTTGAGCCTCGGGCCTACCAGCCCCACAATAGATTGCAGCCCAAGCCAACATAGAAAAAAAGCTGGCTTGGCGCGGATAGCAGAGCTTCCAGACCAGGGTGAACTGATGGCCTACGAGTAACAGCTCAACCGTTCCGAGATACTCAAGACTCTGACAGACTACAGTGAACTCGGCATTCTTCTTTGCAGTACGAGATCCGTTACATACCCTTGACACAGAGTCGCACACCGATTAATGACGTTCAGATGGACTTACCAACAGGGATCAGTTGAGGCCATCTAGGCCAAAACTGCCACATAATCGCAAACCACGAAGTAACTGTCGACGAGAAAAAACGATGTGGTTTGCCCGACCAACCTTCCCTAGAGATTCTACAATCGACCAATTCAGGGGTCATTGAGGGAGTTTCAAGTGACAATATGCGTTTCGAGGGGATCAGACTGACGTCCAAAGTTCGTCAATCCACAGCAGCGGGAACACACCCACTATCAGACTGGGGCGGCAAAGGCCATCATCATATCCATACAAACACGCACCTCAACCTACTGACTATGGACCACAAAGCGTCCCGAGTGTTTTGGCTGGGATCAGACTGACGTGCAAAGTTTGTCAATCCACAGCAGCGGGACCAAACCCACTATCAGACTGGGGCGACAAAAGCCATCATCATATCCATTTAAACACCACCTCAAAATGCTGACCACTAACCACAAGAAGTCCCAAGTCAAACTGACGTGCAAAGTTCGTCAATCCACAGCAGCTGGACAAAACCCACTCACTACCAGACTGGGGCGACAAAACAGTCACCTCAACCTACTGACTAATAGCCACAAAAGGTCCTGAGTAATTTGGCAGGGATCAGACTGACGTGCAAAATCTGTCAATCCACAGCAGCGGGACCAAACCCACTATCAGACTGGGGCGACAAAAGCCATCATCAT